GTTAACAGGGGAGCACAACTGCCTTGGCCCCCCAGGACAAAACCACCAACCGATGCCTGATCTAACAGCGAGCACTTGCAGAGGGACGATCGTCGGGTGACGGGTGCACGGCTGGGGGAGGGGGCCTGGGGGGGGGGAGGTCGGCTCACCACGTCTGCTCACTCGCTTATCTCTTCTCGCTGTTTGAGCAATTTAACCACGGATTTAACCTCCACGCTGGGCCAAAATTGGCCAGAAATGTACTGGTTTGCGGGGGGTAAAAGAGCATGAAGACAGAATGTGCTTAAACCACTGAGGCGTTCGCAGAAGAAAGTGGTAACGGATTCATTTACCAACATTCATAGCTATGCACCAAACCTTCAGTCCTCCCTGTTCCATTCAAGGCTACCTATGAAATACAGTCACTCCTGTTTTACAGATGTAAACCTGAGGATATTTCAAGGAATATCATTGCAGTAGTAATTTTAATGTAGTGCCGGAAACTCTAAGCTGTTTTGTTTCTTAAAACTGTGTCGGGACACAAATTTCACTAGATGCCGCAGGTGGTGAGTGAGTATGAGTGGGGAAGCTCACTGCAGCACAGCGAAAGCTGGATCCATGATAACTCGCCTTATCTCAAAGTGCCCTCCTCTGTTCCTTAGCGTCCTGCCTCTAGCAGTAATGCAGGTCTGTACCATCAGCTTCAAACATGAAGCACAGCATGAGGACAGCAGCACCGCACCTGATGCCAAACCTCACAATTAATCCAGAGCAATTAATGAAAAACGTGACCTCGAAGGGCCAGTTGCAGTTCTGCCCATTGCTACAGAATCCAGGGACATCTGACCAGGAAGTCAACTGCAAGTGTGTCACAAAGCAGCTGTTTAATGTGCAGTTAATGTGTACTGGGGGATTATGGTACGGCCCAGGATGATATAAGGAGATCATTGCTAAAAAAGACACCGTCAACAACCCAGCCGTACAGTCTGTCAACTGTTGCAACAACATGATGCAGCCAGTATTCCCATCCATTCACAGCTACAGATTCCGACAGGAGACAGATAGAAGGGGTCGCGACTTATTCACAAAAATAAAACGCTGTAAATGTCGCTGCTCTTTATTAGCCTGCTGCAGACTTCTGGATCCTTCTTTAGGGTTTTAATTTTCAGCGTAGATTTTCCAAGTTATCGAATACTAGAAGGGCCCTTCAGCTTTATTACAGCCCTTTATTACAATGCAAAGGTAAGAAGGGCCATGTAATGATCTCCTTGTCAGCTTAATAAAATGTCAACTGTCTCTCAAACAGATAAATATGCTCATCGTTATTGGCCGTCGCATTTGTCCCCCGCCCCCCCCCACTTTAAATTATGAAGCACATAGAGGCCGTTTTAAGTGCCTTGTTGTTTTGCTAAAGGTCAGAAAGTTCATTAGGTGTGGGGGGGGGGGTTGTCGTCTGTGGCCCCGCCCCCACACTTGACCCGGAGCTGCCATGTCAGCGGGGGGTGGGGGCTGGACACGTGTAGCCGGACACACCCTGGTTATTTACTGTTTTATTTCGATAAACCATCCTTATTGGCTGCTCTTTACCGTAACCTGCCCTTTGTTTCTTAACAACAGCAAAACAATTCTCTTGTGCAAAAAGCTGGCCATGGGTTGGATTGATAGCTCCTTCTCCTTTATCAAAGACATCTACAAATAGGGCAGCAAGGAATAATCTTATTAATGCTCAATCATAAATACTTACATTATTACTATGTACATACGTACATATATGCATATATAAATACATATTTCATTATATAATTATCATCATTAATATTATTATAATTAATTATTATATAATTATTATATTACCCAAAATCTAATCTAGTGTTTTACTTTTCTGTATATGCTTTTTTTGTAATGTCTTGTAAAAACACCACCAAGGCAAATTCCTTGGTTAATAAAATGATTCTGATTCTGATTCTGATGCATGTTTGTATTGTAACTTGTTTATGATGACCTTTGCATAAGATCTAAATGAAACCTTTGGTCGTTTTCCATTGTTACTTGCTATGAAATGCCAGTACTATTCACACTGGGTGAGAGGTGTCATCGGGCACTGACTCTGGCCTGGGGTTCGCGTTCCGTCGGCGCTGGCATGAACGGCTCTCGCCGAGTCACCGAGCCGAGCGGCCCGATGAGTGCAGATGGCTGATACGCCTGGCTGGAGAGAATGCATACAGAGCATAACCACAGCGGAAATCGTGAATCATTATTTTAAATACAAAAGCGTGTTGCTGGTAACTCGATGCCCTGGGGAAACCTTTCCGTGGGTGATCCTACGTCGGTGTTGTTTTGCGACGGCGGCCGATGACGAGACCTCGGAAACAAGCTCCATCCGGCCTCTTGTGTTACTCGCGGAAATATTTCAGATTCTTTAGGTTTCTTCTGACTTTTTTTTGTTATTCCCCAGTCCGTTGGGAAAATCGGATTCACTCCATCGGCCTGACAAAGCGTGGATACCTGCCTCTTCCCCATCCTAACTGGTCACCTGTTAACACCATCACTGACTGGACACCAGTTTTACTCATTCCTCTGAACACGTTGAGCCATTTCCAGTTTTTTCAAGAGGTTGCCGACTTTGTAATGCTTTGCAGGAGTGCTTTAAACAGATGGCGTAGACATCATGCTTTATCACGTGGACTTTTATATTAACACACACAAACCGCATCTTTTTGTTACTGCACTTTATCTTTTAACTTAATTCTGTTACTTTGGGACCTTTTTTGCTTTTTTGATTGATGCAGCCCACTGAAGATCAAGCCTGATTTCGTGATACTGCTGTTTCAGCATAGCCCCCGCCCACTCAAACTGCAGCCAGGGCATCTAACATCTCAGTAGTTGGTGTCCCACTGTTCAGTGAAATCTGGACAGTGCTGTAATTTTACAAAGGAGTTTCCATTGCTAATCAGGTTAATGTGACAGCAGGCCTCTCACAGGGCGTGTGTGTGACAGCAGGCTTCTCACAGGGCTTGTGTGTAACACACACTAATGTATCTTTTTTCCACTTTGATGTGTAACGCGCCTTCGCTTAATTATGATTAGCCGCGTTTCCACAAGCCGAATCCGCGTGGCTAGTCTTACACAGGGACGTCCAAAGAGGATGCAGTCATTACGTCCTCGGCTCGTTCATTTCAAATCTGCCTCTGACAAGTTGATACCTCCGAGTGGAAAAAAGACCACAGTATGCGTGTTGTTATGGATCGGCAGTCCTAAGTTAGTACTGGCACACTTTAATTGGCAAATCTTAGGCTTGTGATCAGTCGGGGTTGCCAGGTGTGTCCCATTTGGTCTCTTTCGGATCCGCAGGTTCCTAGCGGTCCCGGTGAGTGTCAGACCCTTTGCAAGCACAGACCAAAGGAAAAAAAATCCATAATTATCCTGACTGCAGGCATATCCGTTACATAACAATCGGCTATTGTCAATCAGCCAGATGTGAGATAGAGATCTATATTTTGATTGAATGTACACGAAACTGTTAATTTACAACATGGCTGACTTTGATGTTAACTCAGTTGAAATAATTTCAGATTCCCAGGGATGAAAAAGAGTGAATCTTTCCAGCGGGCACACACCGAAAGGGCTCGCATTACAGCATCATAAATAAATCATTGTAATCCCATATTTCTCTGACCGCTTTCATTTGATTCTTGTCTGCAAATCACAGGCCAGTGACAAACACGATTAGCGTCGAGCGGCCGCTCGTTTTTGACCTTGTCGCGTAAGCCTTTCACCTGCTCGACGGGCTATGCACGGCGCCCCAGCCAGTGAGACGACTTGACAAAACCACACGTCTCCTCTGTTCGAAAATCGACCCTGAAGCACAATTATAACTCAGCTCTCTATGAGAACGTTTAAGATGACTGAACTGGCTCCCACACTTAGGAAGGCTAATCTGATGTAATCGTTGAACCAAAAATATAATTCTGTGTTTCAGTTCTAGCTTCTTGAAAAACAAAGAGTTTGCCCAAATAACACATCAAATAATAATAATAACCATCCACCTACACTTCTGCCAATGGTGTGAGAAGCACAGGGTCATATAATAATACAATTAATACAACTGAAAAAGAGGAAGAAGAGCAAGAATTAACTTAGAATACAACATACTCTGTAAGATACCTTTTCAAAGACTTTCTGTTTCACAGTCCGTTTGCCCAGGAGACCGGGCACAGTTCCTGTCCCTGCATAACACGGGCCAGTCTTATTTAAGGCTAACTGAACACTTCTTTTGCATTCATGAGCTCGCTGTCTGCTGCAAAAGGTCTTTAACTAGCGGGTGGCCACCTTTATTTAAGGCGATGTGGGGGGAGAAAAATGACTCGGTCGTTCAGAATATCATCGGTGGAGCGTGGCGACAGTTTGCACACTGTAAACGATGACAAATCGTGGTATCGATAATCTAATTAGCCAAGGAACAGCCGCAAAATAGTTTGACCTATATTTGTGGTTGACCTGCTGTCTTTGTACAAACTATACGTTTGTGTGTGTGTGTGTGTGTATATATATATATATATATATTTTTTTTTTTTTTAATGGTAAGATTTCAAAGCAATTTATAGCCTGCTGTGAGACCTCCATACATGTGCAATTTTACAAGTCTTTCCTTCGCCAAGCAGTAATTATGTTGAAGTTCTGAATTACACTACTTGCATTTCATTAACAAAAAATGTTTGACTATTGTATAATTAGGTATATAAGCTTACCACCTATATTTAACAAAGTGGCTGCTCTCACAGCTGCCATAAACCAGGCGGGATTTCAAAGCGCATTCAAATAAACTCGCACATTTGTGATCACCAGCAAATTAATAAAGTAAACACACGTCCTTTACTTTTATGCACTTTTTCTTAATGTATGTGAAACACATGTCGCTAAATTAAACTAGAAGGTCAGAAAATATATCTCTAAGAGTTTAAACAGCAGAATGTAAAAACTTTTCTGAATCCTTCTAAAAATAAAAATAATTGTGTTCCTAGCAGAGACTGGAGAGACAAGATGATGGGATGTGAAAATTCAGAAAACTGAAGTTGGTTCTGAAATGCAAGGCATTGGAGAAGGTTCTGAACAGCAGGACTAGAGGTCAGTTCTAAAATGATGGTTTTGGAGCATATCCTGAAACAGGAGGGACAAAGGTTAGCTTTGAAATGCTAGGCTTTGGAATAGGTCCTGAAAAGTTAGACCCTGAAGTCGGTTCTGAAATTCTAGGCCTTGGATTAGGTTCTGAAACTCAGGCTCAGAGTTTGCTTCTGAAATGATCAGATCCAAGTAATTCCGGAGTAAGCTAGCCCTATTCTAGGCTCTGCTAGAGACTCTGACATGGCAGGCCCAGAAGTAGATTCTGAAATGATCATTTTACATTGCCAGCCTCTGAAAATCTCCGTTCAGAAATGCTATGCTCTAGGGTGCAAGAACGAAAGCCCTGAAGTGGGTTCTGAGACTCTAGGTTCTGAAAGACAATGGCATTGAAGTATGTTCTGAAACAGAAAGACAGTAGGATCTGAAATCCTAGGCCTTCACTCGCTATTTTATGAGCCTATGTCTCATGTGACAGGCATTCGAACCCGAGGACTCGCAGTCAGCCCTTCAACAGCGTTCACGTGTCTTTAGAAATAGGCTTCTCTCAAAAGCAGCTTTTCCTGTTTTCAGTATAACACGGCAGCATGTTACATACACTGTATATGTAAAATTAAACTGTCTATCATCACGGCTATCTGGCTATCTTAAGTGGCGGTACTCTGTTACCAGATGGTCTTGTGTTTCAGAGGCCTGCAATCCAATACAACTCTGAGAAATTGCTCTCAGTCATATTGCCTGTTCATGTGACAGGCTAACCGAGGGGGGGGCAGAGGTGGACGGTCAGACTGATTCAGTGAGCTAAAGTGATATATATCCACATTGCTTAGGCCGGAAATTCTTACAAGATGCACTATAGCGGCATATGTCAAACTAAACGTGCCGTGCAGAACTGCATTATTTTTGCAGCCACAAATCAAAAATGTAGTTCTTATTTCAGGCTGCACTCATATTACTCAACAGGCCCGCTGATTTAATCATATTTTAAAGTCCACTTATGCCTGTCGTGCTGTTGAATGTGCCTTCTGTGCCATAATAGTGGTCTGGGGTGTGATATCTATGCACATGCAAGATGATGCTGAAAAAGAACACGCACACACGCACTCACAGAGTGTGTGTCGATGGAGGACAAGATAAATTCAATAGCACTCATCCAGGGCTAGTTTTTTAATCAGGTCCTTTGTAAGAGAGAAAGGAAGATGCATTTTTTTTTCTTTTGTCGCTGTAAGCTGATTCCCTTGTTCTGTGACGGAATTCTCTGGGTTGGAATCCGGGTGTCGTGTTGCCGTTCGCCTCGTCTTCGGTGAGGAAGGCGGATTTGGGTTTCCTTCCAGAGCGAGGAGCCGTTCTCTGTTAAAATGACCATCTTTCCGCAATGTTCTCCCAGCTCCCAAAAGTCCACGCCGACATGAGCAGCACCGTAACAGAGTTCCTAGCTGTGCTCAGGGATGTAGTTTTAATAACAATAATAATGATCGTTATTTTCATAACAGCGATTATACAACAATTTTTTAAACAATTTAGCACAAGACTTAGGCCAGCATATTTGGGGGAAAACGAGACACTTTCCTCTAGATCCCTTAATTATACCTATAACTAAATGCGTTCTATGTTGCCCCATTAATTAGATTGATCTTTGCAATATGCACGCCCCCCCCATTCCCAGAGATTACTGGATAAAGTGGCTGGTGAATTCTCCTGTGCGGTATCCGTGACCCCAGAAGAAAGATGTCTTCTCAGACACAAGTGGCTATTAAATGGATATAATTGACAGTGATCTCGTGTGACACTGCTTTCATCCTGGCATCATAATGGGCAACTTTGCATTTGCATGAGGGAACATAATCAATCTTCAAGGAGTGCAGGCATAGAGAGAGGAAGTTTGGGGCTTTAGCCGCAGATTAAGGCGCCAGCCTCCTGTGTCCCGCTGCTTTGTCTTTTGAAAGGCTCTGGACATTTTTTTAATAAAGGTTTTTTTGTTCCACTTTGAAAAAACCTGCCGGTCCACTCCAGCCACCCTCCACTGGTGTTTCCTTCCGGCAGGACTTCTGACTGCTCTTGGCGTCGCTGTTGCCCGGGTGCAGGTGGGCTCCAGGTCCGAGGCTTTGACCTCTGACCCCATCGTGGCTGGAAACTTTACCCCGTCTTCCGATTCCCTCCATGCCAAGACCCTCCGGACGGTCAGGACTATGAGGTGCAGTTGTCGAAGGTGTTCGGAGCCAGTGCTGAACACCCTCTAATGTCATGGAGTCCGGGCGAAAGGAGAGTGATACCCCCCCCCCCACACACACACACACACACACACACAGCTTCCATCTAGTACCAGTGGGAAAGTCTGCCGTGCATCAGGAAAACCTCAAGACGGTGTTTAACGTTACAGCACATTCTTCTTAATCATATAACTCCGACTTTTCCTTTGGCTGTCAGTCACAGTCACAGTCACAGTCACAGTCACAGCACCTCAGTCCTTTCACGTCTACTGTTATGCTTCTGCTGAAGGCGTCTGCATTTTTAATGATCTTAGTCCCCCCCCCCCCTTTTCCCGAGGAGCGATGTTGAGAAACACGGCCGCCCAGGAGTGGACCGTCCGTGTTTGCATATCGATCGGCGCTGGCCGGACATGGGCCGCACAGTTAATCCGTCTCAGGTTCTCGGCTGACGGATGATTTTAGGCAAGGTGACCCCGGCCATGTTGTTAGCGGTGCCGCTGACGCTAACTCGCTAATTTATGTGGGACTGTACCCGCCGTCCGGAGGCTCCCAGACGCAGTCAGAGACACAGGAAAGGGGAACCACACGTTGGTTTAGCTCAGCTGCCCCCGATGGCGCTCCCCCCCCCCCCCCCCACCATCCACATGACCCATGGTTTTGCTGAGATGTTGCCGATTGTGACTCTTCCTCTTCCTGAGTTTTTACGGAACCCCACTGATCATTTCTATGCTTTCTATGGATTTGACCTGAAATGTACATTTTCTCCATGTCTCCGTGTGTCACGTCGGTAGTAAATTCTTTTCACCATCACCTGTCTCTTCACCATCGCGGCCCGGTTAATGCTGCCTGCTGATACAGCAGGTGTGTGAGGTCCGGTAATCAGAGAGCCCGCCGATGGCCCCACGCAAAGGTGAGGCCCCGCTCGAAGCCAGGGATTCCCCTGGTGTCAGCAGCCCAGGTCCCCACCTTGACTAGGGGACGTAGCCTCAAGCCCCTGTGTGCAGAGCAGACTGGGGGAGCAGGCCGGGGGGAGGACAGAGTCATGTGACCATAGCAGGAGGATGACTAAACAGGGCGTTAACTGGTCCCGTGAAGTTTCACACAAACCATAATCCTGGTATTTTAAATTCCATAGCCGCTTTTCTACTTGGTCCTTAGAGTCATTTGTTTATGTCCAGCCTGAAAATAAAAAAAGGCTCTCGACACCTGACCTCTGACCCCTATCAAACGGACTCTCTGCTATGCGTCCCCCCCCCCCCAAATGCATAATTACAAAACACCATTAGAAAAAAAAAATCTATATTCTCTATTAAAACAGATCCTTCGATGCAATGTATGAGGATGAATGCAATTCTACAGGCATCTTTATACACCAACACCTTTACAGAATTGGTGGAATGAAATTAAAGGTCTTTATTATCCAGTGTTTGCCTACTTTAGAAATGACTGTCCTATGATGCATCCCAAAAAGAAAATACAGAAAATAAAATAAATACGGGTTAAATAAATAAAGGACATTTGTCATTTTTTCTTCTCTGTACCCAGTGTTTGTAGCCTATCGATGGCTAACAGGTAGAGTGATGTTTTGCACAGTCAGATAACATTTATCTTCGGGGTATGTGAGGCTGTCAGTGGCTTGACCCCTCGAACCTCTCACAGCGTCGCTCGATGATGCAGGTCGACGCCGAACGCGGCGTGTGCCGCTCTCCCCTGGAGCTCTCTCTCGATTGGCTGCTTGGAAAAGGCCGGTCAGAGATGACCGTCGCAAAGTTGGGGAGGCTTATTTGGCATAATCTGCCAGTACCGGCCGATAAAAAAGGCACGCCGAGCGCTTGGGGAGGCTAAGGACCAGACAGGACCCCCCCCCCCCCCCCACCACCACCACCACCTGCAAGCGGGGAAAACAGGCTCTGGGTTATAATTAAAGCAGGATGGTGTTATATCTACAGGGAGACCCAAAACAGAACTATTGGGGGGGTTGGGGGGTGTGAACTTTTTCATTGTCGGGTACAATATTTCATGATTCAACTTATCATGATGGAATTTATACAGGCAGTGTGGCCGTCGCCCCCCCGGGTCCCGCTGAGGGGGCGGCAGGCGGTTTGGTATGAGAACGACGTGGCGACGATGATCCAGCAGCTTGGATTCCGATCGATCGATGGTTCTGTCGGATCGCTAACTCGGATCGAACGGCCACCGTCAGCGTCGCTGCGTTCACGCCTCCTTCCAGCAGCATTAGCAAAAATAAAAGCTCCGGGGGTCATTTTCATCAATCTCTGACGCGGGTGCGGGAGGCGGAGCCGGCTTATCCCTGCATGTCACATGACTCCCTGCCGGCCGCCCTTATATGGGGCTGTAAAAGATGAAGACGCCCATACAGCGAACGGACGGCTGTGCCACCTGCCTTTCGCTAACACGTATTCCGATATCTGCTAGCCGTCGTGACCTATCACTCCCGGACCTCCTAATCTTACCGCTCACCCCTTTTATCACGTGTTTATGACAGCTCCTGTGAGTCGCAGAGTCACAATCCCCTCCACATCCAATTAACTCACTCGCCAGGACGTGCCCATTGTGATCGATATATATATTTATATCAGCCGCGAATCAGGAACCGGTCTGACATCGATGCCACCCCACCTGACCAGCCTTGTCAATTATACAAAATAAAATCAAGTATTCATAAGCAGCCCGTAATGGGATATTGACTGACAGATTTAATAATTCAGTTTTTCTCAGGGTTGACTGGCATTAGTTGTAGCTAATGGTCGCCTGTATAAAAAATTCATTGGGAAC